AACAGAATAAAAAGTCGTTGATTCCCATAAAAACTTCCAAATGGATTTGACCACTTTTGTTTCTAACCGACACAAATACTACCTAAACGAATTTTTATTTGCTACACTGCTCTCCCAGTTGATCTTTACATTTTCCCCACAATACAGTGTTACAATTGTTGCAGATTTGGTCATGTTAAATCATTATGTAGATCAAAACCAAAGTGTTTCAAGTGTGGCCAAGACCATTCAGCTGATCAGTGCTCTATCCTAGAGGAAGATGCATACTGTTGTTTATGCCAAGGTTCCCATTTTGCCACAAGTAAAAGATGTTTAGAATTTGATCGCCAAAAAGCCATCAAAGAATCTATGGCCAAGAGCTGTATTTCGTACGCTGAAGCATCTAAAATTCATGCACCTATTTCAAAAATGTCTTATGCTGATGCTTTACTTTCTTCTTCCAATGTAGGTGCTTCTACTATTTCTACTCCTCAAAATGAACAGTATCATAAACAGTCTTTGAGTAACTCTTACAAAAAGACTGTTTTTCTTAAACCAAAATCTATTCCTAAACTATCCAAAGGTTATGACAGAAATACACAACAACAATTAATTAAAGATTATGATATGCCCTCACCCAGAAATGGTTGTGGATTAAACTCAAACAACAATAATGATTTGACATTACAATCAATTGCAGACCTAATAAAAATTCTCATTAACACTTTATCACAGTCTAATATTCTTTCACCGTCCAACGCTGCTCCTTTAATTGACACTATCGTTAACTTACCAAATTATATTAATAATGGACAAGCAAGCCAAAGCTCTACAGTGGAACTGTAGAAGTGCTTCGTCTAAGAAAAGTGATATTATTTATCTTATAAATAAATATAAACCTTTTATCTTCGCTCTACAGGAAACCTGGTTAAAACCAGGTGCTCCTTGTAGGTACTCAGGTTATGCCTGTCTCCGTGAGGATCGTATTGACGGGTATGGCGGAGTTGCCTTACTAGTCAAACATCATCTTCCTTTTTCTCACTTCCCTATTCCTTCTCATAGTAATGATTTTTCAATTATTGCTGCTATTGTTAATAATATCTGCTATGTTTCAATATATATTCCTCATCCTAGTTCTTCTATCTTTGTTGAAATTGACTCTATCATTTCTACTCTTCCTAAGCCTTTTATCTTATTAGGCGACTTTAACAGTCAACATAGTTCTTGGGGCAGTTCAACAACCAATTCATACGGAGTTTCATTAATGGCACTGTTAAACTCTCATAATCTTTGCTTTCTCAACGATGGTTCTGTGACCCGGCGGACCTCTCCCAATGAAGGCTCAAGTGTCCCTGATTTAAGCATTTGTACTCCTAGTTTAGCTTCCACTATTTCATGGTCTACACTTTCTTCTTCATATGGTAGTGACCACTTCCCTTTACTTCTTAGATTTCCTTTTCATATTAATTTTACATTTAGACAATCTCCTAGATTAAAACATCGACTTAATAATGCTGACTGGGATACCTTTAAATCCCGTATAGAACACAAGATGACTTCCCTTCCTAATATCTCACATGGTTCAGAATCAATTTGTGCTGATGCATTAACTAAATTATTTATAGAAGTAGCTGACAAAACTTTTCCGCTTAAAAATGGTGCTCTGGGCTTTATTCCATCTCCACCTTGGTGGGATCAAGAATGTTCGGATGCAATTAAAAAAAGGAAACAAGTTGAGCTCCAATATTGTGAGAATTGTACATCTGCAAATTTTGATCTGGTTACAGATGCTTTCAAGGCCACTAGTTTATTATTCAAAAAAGAAAAAAGCAGATAGCTGGAAATCTTTTTGTCTCTCTATTTCCCCTAATGTCCGTCCTTCTTTGGTATGGCGTAATATTAGAAGATTCAGGTGTGCATTTACTGAAACTTCTGGTTCTCTCCCTGATTCATTAACTAATCAATTCCTCGACAGACTTGCTCCTACTACAGCTCCTGAAAGAATAATTATGCCTCTGATGCCATTGAACCCCTCTGGTCTCAATAGTCCATTTTCTATGTATGAAATTAAAGGAATACTATCTTCAGTTATAGACTCTGCTCCTGGTGACGATGGAATCCCATATTCCTTCATCTCTCATTTAGGTGACCAAACTCTTGAATATTTCCTGAAATTGATAAATACACTCATGTTAACCGGTTCTATCCCTCCACACTGGAAAAACCAGATCATTATACCAATTCTCAAACCTAATAAAAATCCCTCTAATGCAAATTCATATCGTCCTATTGCATTATCTTCGGTCTTGATAAAACTATGTGAACATTTGGTGAAAACTCGTCTTGAATGGTTTGTAGAAAGCAATAAATTACTTTGTGACAGTCAATTTGGTTTCCGTCGAGGGAAGAGTACGATGGACAGTATTGCCATCTTTATCACTGATATTTTTTTAGCATTTTCAAGGAATGATTCTGTTGTTGCCACATTTTTAGATGTACAATCTGCTTATGACAATGTAGTGTTGTCAGTTCTCCATAAAAAGCTACAATATTTGAATGTACCTGTAATGTTATCAAATTTTATCATAAATACTTTACACGAAAGACACATCACTCTAATTTCACAAGACTCTACTGTTGTAACCAGAACCTTATGGAGAGGTCTTCCTCAAGGATCAGTCTTAAGTCCAATCCTATATAATATTTATACCCATGATTTGAAAGCTTCTTTGGGTAATCGTATTTGTATTCTTCAGTATGCTGATGACCTTTTACTTTATTCCATTCATCAATCACCGGCCATTGCTTGCTCATTACTGTCTCATTCTCTTAATTTATTAAAAACTTGGCTTGATACTAATGGCCTTGAAATATCCCCCACTAAAAGTGTTGCCATGCTTTTTTCTAGAATGCGACTCCCTCCTCCAATCAATGTGTATTTTGGTAATAATATTATCCCTGTTAAGAACTATGTGAAGTTCCTTGGTGTGTTTTTAGATTCTAAGCTCTCTGGCGTAAATCATTGTGACTACATTTTTAATAGGTGTGAGCGAAACCTAAACATTCTTAGATGTTTATCCGGTGTATGGTGGGGTGCCCATCCCTTTTGTATGAAACTTATCTACAATGCTTTAATCCGAAGTATTTTAGACTATGGTACTTTTTTATTATCTCCTGGAAATGCAACCCGTTTTAAAAATTAGATAATATACAGTCTAAGGCATTAAGATTAATCACAGGAGCTATGAAAACTAGTCCAATTAATGCTTTACAAGTAGAATGTGTTGATGCCCCATTACATCTTAGACGACAATATTTATCTGATAAATTCATATTTCGCTCCCTTCAATATGCCAACCATCCTCTCCGTTCTAAGCTTCAAGAACTGTCTCAATTGTTGACATCTTCAAATTACTGGTCAAATAAATCTTCACCTTGTCTTATCGTTAGCTTCAATAAATTTATCAATATTCAAGCTCCAACTCACACCTTGCCAACTTACCCTTTATTTGGAACTAACTTTGAATCTTTAAATAGTTCCCCAGACATTAGTTTCAATATTGGTATAAATAAGGGCGATTCCCACGCAAGGATTACTTTTAATTATTTCTGTGAACAATACTACCACGAGTACAATTACATATTTACAGATGCATCTAAACATGGTTCGTATGGTAGTGTAGGAATAGGAGTATTTCACTTACAAAGTAAAACTACAATAAAAATAAAGTTTCCTCCAGAGTCCTCAATCTTCACAGGGGAATGTTACGGTATCTTTAAAGCTATAAAACTAGTTTTGAGTAAGAAACTTAAGAAATCAATCATATTCACAGATTCACTTAGTGCTCTTCAAGCTCTCCAAAAATATCCATTTAAAAACAAATTAATTTTTCCTATCATTATTGAGATTAGGGGTTTGTTGTATGAATGTAAGCAATTGGGGTTGTCTGTGTCATTTGGTTGGATACCTGGACATTCTGGTATTTTTGGTAACGACATAGCAGACCAACTAGCAAATGAAGCTGTTAAGGATGGCGATGCTAACTCGTATAAAAATTATTATCATGATTTGGCCTCACTTCCTGCTTCTTTTCTTCGACAATCTTGGACTGACCTTTGGATTCAGAGCAGTTTAATTAAGGGTAAATATTTTTCATCTATACAGCCCACAATACCACTTAAGCCATGGTTTTTTAAAATGAAATTTAATAAAAAGGAAACATCGTCTCTCATTCGTATGAGATTGGGCCATGTGTGTACCCCAGCCCACCTTTCCAGATTTCATATTATTGATAATGAAATGTGTGAATGTGGGCTGAATATTGGTGATTTAAATCATATCATTCTGTCCTGTCCCCGGTATAACCACTCCATGTTATTCGATCATCCTCATCCTTCTTCCAGTATCCCGTTACCTACATCTGTTCCTGTTCTGCTTTCATCTTTAAATCATAATGTATATAAAAAGTTATGTTTATTTCTTACTGTAAATAATATAAAATTGTAAATACATATGTATACAAATCGTATTCTATATGATATATATTTTATTAATTACTGTTCCTTTCCATAATGTAGTATTTTGTATTAGAGATAGTTTTATAACCTGCTGATCCTATCCTATATCCGATGTAATTTTCTTACAATGTAAAATTATTTTTCCTTACTATTCCGTTTTCCTTACCTTTGTCTGTGGCAATACGCTCTGCGTGAAGCTATTTAAAAAAAAAAAAAAAAAACTCAATTTTACATATTATACCGTACTCCGTAGTCTGTAGTATTATACATTATTCTTGACTTGTGATTTGTGAATCTATTATCAAAATATGATTTCTGTAATTGTTAACAGTAAAATAAAAACTGCAATTCAGTGTTTATAGTAATACTACGGTCTACGACAGTTTTTATGTAGTAGAAGTATAAAGTGCCTGATAAAAATATACGTTGTATAATAATAAACACGATTTCCTTTGTTTGATTAAAAAAGTGAATCATAATACTTAAGTATTAAGGTTCAAAATATGCTTATATCCAGTGCCATAACTCGACGAGATCTAAACTTTTCCAAAATGTGCTTTTTGATAAAGTGCCTCAAAAGATTAAAAAGTTCACAACAATGGTTAAGTCGACAAAGAGCGGACCCATACGTAGAAAAGGCTAAGATAAACAACTACAGGTATATATGTGTACTAGCCACAGTTATAAATAGATATTGTATTATTATATAGAGTGTAAAACGTCTCTTAGTAATTCAATGATTTAATTTTAGATGTCGGAGTGCCTTTAAATTATTAGAGATGAACGAGAAAACTAATATTTTACATCCTGGTCTCACTGTTGTTGATTTGGGAGCTTCACCTGGCTCATGGACTCAAGTGGCAGTACAAAAAACTAATGCTGATGGTGCTGATTCAACAAAACCAAAGGGCACTGTGTTATCAATTGACAAGCTGCAAATATTTCCTATACCGGTAAAAATATTATATATTTTTTTTAATATTAGAATATATAGTGAACTATTAAAATTGACATTGTTGCTGAAACCATTAATATTTTTATAATGCTTACAGGGTGCAACTATATTAAGTAATATGGATTTCTCCACAATAGAAGCTCATGATAAAGTGGTAAATATGTTAGATGGAAAGCCAGTGGATTTAGTACTTTCAGACATGGCCCCTAGTGCCACAGGTATACGAGAATTAGACAAAGATAGAATTTTAGGTCTGTGTTATATGGCAATAAGATTTGCTGCTCTTGTTACAAAAATTGATGGAAATCTCCTTTTCAAAGTATGGGACGGAAAAGAAGTGCCCATTCTAGAAATGGATTTAGAAAGATTTTACAAGAACATAAAGATTTTAAAACCAAAAGCAAGCCGCTCAGATTCTTCAGAAAAGTTTATTTTAGCTAGAGGTTTTAAGGGAATTCAAAGGCCATTACAGAATGGTCGTTGGGGTTGAAAAAAGGCCTGTTTGTATATGGTGCCATAGTCTCTTGGTTTTTCAGTTTATATAGTAAGTAAATTTGTTTGTAGAATAGGTATATGGAAAAACAAACCATTTACCATTATATATTTAAGGTGAAGCCATTCTAAAATTTGTATTGGTAAATGATTTAGTCTATATTGTAGAATAAAGAATTAAGAAATTTATATTTATTATATAGCATTTTTTTTTAAATTTAATATTTGTATGAAATGACAATGTATAGTTTGATTACGTGAATAAATGTCTTCCATTTTATTGAATAAGATAAATCATAGAAGACAGTAGTAAATAAGTAATACAATTAAATCCTATGATAACTGCTCAAAGGTATATTACAAGATTGTTTATTTTGTACTTATTAATTTTATTATATTAAATTTTATGAGCATAAAAGTGGTACTAGTAATATTTAACATTTTAATTTTTATCAGTTTCCAAGTTACCAACAGTGCTTGTTCATTAAAAAACAATATTTTTCTTTATATTTTTATTTGACTTTAAAGCAGAATTACGAGTAATTAGACCAAAATCATATTCTTCATTTACACATAACTGAACGTAATTTATAACTTACGAAAAATAAAATTTTAATCTACGTATTCTTTTAAATTTAAAAAACACTTCTTAAAATAAGCGATCACATTTTAACACCAGCTTATTCAAATCACAGAAAAGCTAGTGACATACTTGTGCATGACACAACCGAAAAAAATAATTGCTAGATATTTTATCTACTCTAACGATAATTCGTTATTAAAATATTTTTGACGAAAAATGAAGTTTCATTTAAAAGCTCTTTAAAGGCGGTTTAAACAAAGTGCGTCCTAGTGCCATGCGAAAGTTTGTTTAATTGTGCCGCTGAGAGTAAGCTGGAATGAGCTGCATGATCCAAGAGTAGCAACCTCTCGCCTCTTTCGTCGTTGTTGGTGATACTTTCATGACAACGTCCGCCAGTCTCGAGTGCAAAACTACTGACTGCGCAAATTGCGTAGATAAATGTTAGGACGAATAGCGTGCAACCGAAATCTGAAAACGAAATACAACTGAAGTTTTTCTCGCGAGAGGCGGGTTAACGTAACGTAATATACTAATATTATATGTATTAAACAGTTTCTTCGTGCATTTGGCCCTTTTAATTATGTATAATAATAGGAAAGGGATCAGCATTATGTTAGGAGCCAAATAATGACTCCGCGGACTGAGGCGGTATTTATTTAATATATTTATTTCATTTAAACTGATCTAATTAGTTATTAGTAGTTTTTCATCACAAGAAATACTTACGATAAATATTATGACCGCCGAATAGATTTATGATGCACGGATAGCCATCGAACACAATGATGAAGTTAATAAGTAACACTACTGCAATGCAAGCTGCCATTATCCAAGGTAATACGTACTCCCTCTTATATTTCACGGCACCGTATAATAGAGATATTGAACACATAAGGTAAATAGCCGTTAATATTGTACTTGTATACAAAATAACGACGGTTACTGAAAAAATACGAAAGTTTATTAATCCTTATATAAGTATTAATAATCAACTAGGTCTTACAACAAACCTGATGCAAGATGCTGCGCTTTTACAAATCTTGCATGGTTCTTTGTACTTATTACATCACTTTCGTGAAATATGACTTGGTCGCCATATCCCACGCCATAAAATCCTCGTCTCTCTTCGTCATCTTTCATATCATTGTCAAGCAATTGTAACATTTCTCCAAGATGAGATATTCCAACTAATAATATTATAAGCAAAAACGACGATAGCGCCTGTAAAAATGTTTAAGCATTGTTTGTTAAGATTTTTTGCTTTAGTTATTCAATCATATATACTCACGATTTGATGGACGGCAATCAAAATTGTGCCTTGTCGTAAATTAAATACATACAAGAAATTATTTAAGCGAATCATAATTTTGTTACATTTCTTTGTTCTGGTAAACATTTGTTTTATTTATAGCACTACAGCAATGATAGTGAGAGTGAAAACATAGTTTCGTTGAATGTTTAAGCAGTTTGAATGCGCATGTGATTTTCTATCGATTTATTTTCAGCGCGCATGGTAACGTTGTGTCAGCAAAAATTTGCACACTATGCAATTATCGCCTATTGTCTTGGTAGTGGCGCATACATATTTTTTCTCAAATATGCAGGAAAATAGGCTCATTTGAAAAAATAATAAACGCGTTTATAGACCAAGGCACAAAACGCACCACTAGACAGTATTGCAAACGGAATACGCGTCAACAGTGTTGTTAAAATCTTTTTCGATTTTAGTTCTTTTTCATAACTTGACACCTTTGGATTAGAAACTGTTCGTTTCAGTGATAATTCATTATACAAAGTGTCTCAAGAGAAATTTCATATTTAGTTGATCGATTTTTAAAATAGTAAGTCGTGTATCAAAAAGTCTTTATTCATTATCAAAGTACACATTTTGGTCCCTCGCGTTTGAGGCACTCGTTTAATCGAACAATAAAATATTTATAACGGCTCGGCAGGTGGCCTCAGTGATGGCTGCCATTTCGTGACGGATATTTTCTTTCAATTGCGCCAGAGAAGTCAGGTTATTGGCGTAGACTTTAGATAACCCCATAAGAAAAAATCCATAGGGGTTAAATCAGGACTGCGTTATGTCACCTCTCCTGGAGATCAATTTGCCTGAGAATATTAAAATTTCACGAACTCGTGGCAGAAACGTATTGGCGGTGTATGACGTTGCTCCGTCCTGCTGGAACCACGTTCTTTGGTTATAGCCAGGAAAGTTTTGAAGTTCAGGCACCAAAAAGCCGTCTAACATTTTCAGATAACGCTCTGAATTTAAATGTAAACTTTCTTTTGAGACACCTGTTATTAACTGAATCATTTATAGTTCGTGTAGTTTTGTAATATTTTACCTTTTTTACTAATATACAAAAACAAAGTGTAAAGAAGAATACTACGGCTCTACCTAACGTAAACTATAATTTAGAATGACGAATTTGTGTCCCAGTATTATGCAATTGTTTCGATTTTTCTAAAACTTTTTAAACGGACAGTTTGACAACATAATATCATAGAGACTTTTAATTCTAAACTCCTAGGAAATTTGGCTTTGTGTTTCAAGAAAGCTTTCTCTTTCGCCTTGTTTCGTATGTTAAATAAAATAACAAATATTTATTAAATTAGTTTTATTTCACAACTTACAATAGAAGTGATAACGTTATGACTGTATTCACCGAACTTTTAGCTGGTTTAAGTATATTTGGATTATATTAAAACTATCACAAATAGTTCAAATGAAACCATACTATGTACAAAAGATAACTTATTAATTTTTAAAGGGTATATAAATAAACAAATCAAAATAATTTTGAAGGAACTATTTACAAAAAATAACATGAAAATATTTTTGGTTTGAGTAATTTTCGCACCTACAAAATTTGATGAATACAAATTGATTAAAATTATGACTTAGGAATTAGGATTAATAAATACATGTACTCATGAAACTTATCCTATAGATTAAAGGGTAATTATTTAACATGCAATGGGTACAGTTTCACAAATTAGTGTTGATTCAACATAGTTTTCGAAAGAATATTTCTTAACTTACAAAAGATAGTTAAGAAATAGTTACCTAGGGACGGATTTAACAAAATTTATTAGTTTTGCGCAGTATTAAAGATACACACGGCGTAAAATATACTTAAGCCCATGAATTTAAAATTGAATGTGCAGTTTTATCCACGAGGTTAGTAAATGATTCAACGACTTGTCGAAAACATTCCCGTTTATAATAAAGCATACTTCGTAAACAAATTAAACCTTGTTTTTTTGGTTGACTTAAGGACCTATTTTAAATGGCAGCATCAATTGTTTCGTATATCAAGGAAGCGAATCGAAGTCACAATTATTCGATATAAGCGTTCCATTTTCGATTGTTAGCTGAAATTTATACTAACCCCACAGGACTTAAGATAATTGGTGTTTATTTTGCTTACAATAATGGACTTCATTATTATTTTATTGGCTCAAAAATATGCACCAAGGCTGAATCAAAGATGGTGTGAAGTCTTGTAAAAATTGCACCATAGTCTAACCTTACCACTAGGCACATGACAATACACGAGTTTGAATAATATGGACAGAGGGCGAAATGCCGTGCTACAAAATATTCACATAATACTAATAAATAACACATATTCACAAGTTAAGTACCCTAAATAGCTTACAATAGTCACAAATCCGTTGTCAATTACAGCCAGTATTTTGTCAATTCGAATCTCGCATATTTCGCTAGAATTCGCCAATGATATATTACGCATAAAAAAATACAAAGAACCTAATCTACGCCTAACTTTGAAGTATAACGTCAAAATTCATATACAAAAAATTGCGGTTGCAACTACTGAAAAATAGGTGGTGATCAACGTAATACAAATGTCATTTTTACAATAAATAAATTGCAAGGTAATTCAGAGAAAACAAATTCAGTCTATAAAATATTTTAATACAAATAATGCGTGGAAGTTTCGCACATATTCTAAAACCATAATACCAGTCGTGATTCATAATAACTGTTCTTTTACATAGAACAAAATACTTGCTTCTATTACAACTGATATTAGGATTTAGAAGCAGGGCGATATAATCTTATAATGACTGTTCGACGCAAACGTTTACACGTTATACATTAGACACATTAGTGGAATAAAATGTTAAATTTTTTCGTACAAAGGTGGTCAAATTCATATTCAATCTGTTCTTATTATAAACTTCGAGAACGTTATATAGAGTTTTAAATATATCATTGATGTCATTCATTTATATTACAAAATTAAGAATGACGGAAAGTTGAACAAATTTGAAAACTACCGAAAAGTCTAATAATTTGTTAAATAATGCAATTTTTTTAACTAACCATTATGTGATACTGCAAGAATTTCTCCCAGTACAGTTGAGTCGTGTATGGTGCGAGTGTTTCGAGGGCCTAGCGCGATGTCTCGAAGGAGCGGCTGATATCGCATACGACTTGAGATGAGACTTGAGCGTGCTCGGTAACGGAAGTCTTTCGAGTCCGTATACGGATGTTCGTGCTACGATCGCACGGCAACATAGCTCTTGGAGACTGAGGACTGAAAATATAATAGACTTTTTAGGTAGCTTAGAGCAGTGTTAACCAAGTGGTTAAACAGGCGTTTTTTTTTATTTATTTATAGTAGTCCGTAAAATGTAATGTCTAGTCTACAACTAAAAAGGTCATATAAAGGATGGACTTGGCGCTGGAAAATTAGGGTTATTTTAATATGGTTAAAGCTTACTTCACTTTACATATTGAACATAAAACAACTATAATGTAACAGAAACCAATTAATCTAGTTGGATTTATCTTAAATTTAGAAAGCCAAATTGTCTTTAAATAACGGTTTCTTCTATCTTTAAATAAGTGTGTGTGTTCTTTACGCAACAGATTAATTTCTTTATTTAAATTATGGATAATTATTTAAGGCAAGTTGTTAAAATGCTTTGCTCTTTCCTACTTTAATCTCAATTTTCGTTTTGCCAGGGATTAAACTCAAAACCATCATCAAAATAAATGTGGTTAAGACAACCATAAACTATATTTAGGAATTACCTTTATTGCTCCTCCACAATCGCTCCATGCCATTACGATGTAGAGCCATCCGCGAGAGCTCACAAAAACTTTCCCTTATATTGAAGTCACAGAGCGGACTCACTTCGAAAAAGGCCATGTGATTTTTAGCTGCATACATTTCAGCGTCGCGTTCTTGTACTTGTCGTTTAAATGCTAAGTGCAACCGATTACCCACTAGCACCTTTGGTACTCCTGGGGCGTGCTGGAATATACATGTATGTGAAAGCAAACGCAGCAACAGCAGCAAGTTGAAGGGAAGGTGGGTGAAGGTGACACTGAACGGTACATCTAGGCAGGTTTGATATAAAAATATTTAGGATATTTCAGTTTCCTTTGGTTTAGGGGCTTAATTAGAGATGTTAGTGAAGACAAATTTGGTATACATCTAAATCTATTTAAATTTTATAAGAGGAACTTTATTACATGTTTTTTACATATATTTCAGGTTTTCAAAATTTATGACTTAATATAACATAAACCATAAAAATATAATAAAACCATTCTGTAAGCCTCTCATGGCATTTGACCTTATGATACCATGAAAGTATTCATGTAAACCATAAGCATCTTCAAAAATCACTTTTATATATACGTAAATAGCTTGTCACTATTTGCTTGTTACAATTGAAAACATAGTTAATTAAATGTTTACTAAAACAAGTGGATAAAAACACATTAAATTACTTTTGAAAATTTACTTTAATGAGTGACGTGTTTAAAAACTATTATCATAACCTTGAATGTACTACTAAACAAGTAAAACATGACCGATAATTTTAAGTGTCTTAAGTACATACTGGAAATTTTCTTTAATACCCATGTACTATCTACATCACCTTTATAGCTTGCAGTGAGTGTAATTTTTTTCTAATCGGAAAGCACTAACTTCAATATTTAATTTTTAAAAATTAAACAATAATTGTAGAAAAGACACATAAATGACATATTCATATCATCATTTGCCTTATTACATATAATTAATTACCTTTTCAACTTCTTCAAGCCACCTGTCAATACTGTCAAAGGACCATTTATTTGTTATATCATATACAAGTAGAATTCCCTGAGCACCTCTTGAATATGAACGAATGATTGTACAAAATCTGCCTTGTCCTGAAGTATCCCAGAGTTGTAGTTTCACTCTTTTGCCATCTAAGAGGATTGTTGTTGTTTTGTATGCTACAATTGAAATTGATCAACATAAATATTATTTTATTCAGAAAGTTTATTACCTTATTAATCTAGGTTTTAAGTTAAAAAACTATTAAGTAATAGTAATAGAAACTAAATTGAAATCCATCAGCTCATCTGTCCATGCTTAATCTTATTTATAGCATGTTTGTTTGTGGCATTATCTTAATGGATCCTACTGTACTCAAATTTTCATGAATCAGGTATTGAAATAGTATTAACAAAGTACCACTGCCACTGCAAAAAGGTGAATCAGCAGAACCATCCTCTAAATCCTGCAGAATTTCTTGTTTCCCAACATCAGAATCCCCAACAAGTAAAACTTTTAACAAGTAGTCATACGATTTTGGAGCTGCAGGTGGACGGCCTGGAACAATTTTTAAGAAAATTAAAAATACAACCTACTATGATTGTTTACCATGTTTTAATAAACATAATAAACTATTTAGTTAAAACAAGAAAGTAAAATTAACACAACCTAGCTGATAATTACAGAATAAGCAACAATCATGTATATTATGTGACAATGATTATGGTCCAAATATTTCTTCATATTATATATTTACAATTTGAACAAATGTGACATGAATTCTTAGTTACCTGGTCTCTGATGGTGTGACCTAGGTAGGGTGATGCTACCGTTTGATGCGACCTGGCCCGTCGCTTGCTGCGGTGCTGCTACCATACCAGTCGTGCTAAACATACTTTCCATAAATTCCTGAGGCCCAGGTGGTTATTACCCCACACAAATGTATACATAATATCGTTCAGTTTTCAATCCTTTGTGTGTCCCATGTATAAGTCAATATCATAATAAACGTAAAATGTTTGTAACAATTAATTAAAAATAGCAGTATATAAAATAATTGTTTCTAATTCTAAGTTTTAACGAATTCAGTAATACGCCACAGTATACGAACGCTTTATGCTTTGTTGTAAAAGTTGTAAAAGCTTTTATGTTTGAAATAACTACAAGATTTCCTTCATTTTGTTATCATTCATTTTAATAATGGTAATCATTTTTTGTACAAAAACAATACAATCACAATTTTCACAAAAATATATGGTCGACAAACGTCATACGCAACAGACTACGTGCAGGACATAACGTCCATAGACCAAATATAGTAGTTCTGCCATATAGATCTACCACTTTCTTTCAAATTTACAAATGTATTAAACACAAATCTCCAAATCAAGTGAACATAATTGAATTTGAAAAAATTGGTGACCTAGTCCATTAAATTACTGTTCAGCTAAAAACATTTGAAATATAGTCTTGCGTCTGTTATCATTATTTTAAATTATTTCTATACTTTTTTATTTACACTAGATACTAACACGACAAAATCATTTTTTTTATTAACAAAATACTGGTACTTAACCTTTTTATATTTTATTTTTATCGATAAAAGACGATACGAGGCTTACGAGCCCAAATGAAAAAATGTGTTAACCTAGGTAAATTTAAACACGATAAAAATTGTTTTATCTCCTTTTTACGCTTTAGGATGGCGTGAGAAAATAAAGGACCAACATATTCTTTCGTTAGTTCTATGCTTAGATAGCAGTCAAGTTTTAAATAATAAACTCGAACGTCTTTAAAATCATATTTTCGTCTTTCCAAACTAAGGAAATTAAAGTAAACAATATCTGGATTATTAAAACAAAGTCAGTACTGAGATAGTTATTTATTAAAAATATACATAATTTTTATACAATAACAACTATAAAAATAGTTACATTAGGTACTAATTGAAGAGATTCCTTAGATTTATTTTAATGGAACATGTTACAACTTCGAAATTTGTTTTGTGGTGATCTAAAAGGAAAAAACATTGGCTGTGTGTAGAGATGGTTGATGTAGGAGTTTTAAATACCAGGCTAAGAAAACATTAAGTGTCTAATATTACATACAATTATAAGGAGAAATATGATTCAACAAAATATACAAGTTACATATTTTTTATGACATATCTTAAACAGAGTGATTTAATTACATATATGAAAACCCCTTATCAGAAAAACTAAATTAGTCTAAATTACATGGTTTCGATTCAAACTATCTTCTAGTAATTTGTGTTTACAGTGTGATAAATCATCTGGCTTTAATTAAAACATTGGAATTAGGCAAAGTTGTTTAACAATAAGGTGCAGCCTCTATTAACAATATAATAAGTGCTAATTAAAAAAATAATAATAATAAAAAATGGTCAACATGAATTCCATAGAATTTTTAACTAATAGTCTTCATATCCAGGCAATGGGAAGGTTCGGCTGTATTGCTCAATGCTCTCCTTTAAGTTTTGCACCTTTGCTCTAACTTCAGCGTTTTCTTCAATCACCTTGTTGAAATCAACAAGCTTCGGTCCAGATATCTTTGTGACTTCGGAAGCGAGTTTTAGCGCCTGGTCTACAAAGTCAACAACTCGATCGATGTCTGCCTCCTTGAGGCCACGTGTAGTTAGAGCTGGTGTTCCTGAAATGAAAATTAAAAATTGACTTCATAGAAACAAATCATTATGTATAAAAATTTACAAATGACAATTTGGTTTCGCATGGGTATATTTTACTTTTTTCTTAAATATTAGTTGTTAGAGATGTTACTAGTGTTCTCCATAGACACCTATTGATGTGTCAAGTAATATTAATTTATCCAGGTAAGCATCTGATCGTAGTTTATTAGTTTGCATCCATTGAGTAGTTTAAATTACATTAAGCTTAATTTTGTTGTTCTTATGAACCCAATAATTAATCCACAATCTCAGATGAATCGGAGATCAGACCATGACGGTCGATCGATCTCCTATCTGCATCCCAATAACCAATCCCTACAAAGACATTCCATTTTTGGCGACGTATAAAATGCTCTTTGTCGTTCCATTTTACCGAGTTTTCACTCATATTATGTAAACCAAATAAAGTAAATAAAACCGTACAAATAACATTAACATATACATTTTTTTAATTATTTAAAAAACTGTTGTTAAAGTAAAAATCTATTAAAATAATTAACTGTTGAAATCGAGCTTTCGTCAACCGTCATTTTCATACAAAGGTCTATCCACCGAAACCGATACGACCTCCCGTGGATAGCTTGTATCGACAGATGGCTATTACAATCCGTCGATTGGTTATTGGCACACTTGTTACAACATTTGGTGGATTATGGATTGAGATATGTTATTAGGTTCGGGTGCCAATCTCTCCATGCAATTCTAATAGTCGAAGTTCAATATCATGTTCAAAGAAACAAAGGAACTGAGACTAATCAGAAGTACTAATACGGCATTAGATTTATTATTTGCCGGTAAAATATACGTATGTTTGTTCAGATAAGTCCTCTAAGCAACATCTTATTCCTTATCAATATTTATTATTAATAAACTTGAAAATAATATTGTTTATTGAGTAAGGTTGATTGAATGCCCTATTTATGTTACAATTGATTAGTTTTTTGCGATAACACAATCACGCAACGCTTTGACGCAATAAAGATCGGTGAAAATATTATTGAAACTCAGAAGTTAATAATAACTAATATTATACGTATCTAAAAGACAGCAACATTCAACAAGCTTTATATTATTTAGTAATTGAACTTATAAATCAGTTTTTTTAATTTAAATGAAAGTATTTTAAGACAAAACTGCTTTTATGGACATATACACATTTAAATATAATTATAGTTATTTAATTATTCGAACACAAATTATTACTTTCAACGAATATCTTAGGTCATTTCTGGTATTGTGTAAAATTAGACATATTGATTGGTCATTGTCATAACCTAAGCCTATTAAGAAACTATTATTAACAAAACACAGACCTTTCATAGCGAAAGTGCAGGACTTTGAATAGAAGGTTATAGTTACCTAACCGAATCCCGCTAGGATTCAAGGCACTTTTGTCCCCCGGAACGGTATTCTTGTTGCAGGCGACACTGCATAATTCCAATATACGTTCTGCGCGAGCGCCGCTTAAGCCGACGTTACGAACATCCACTAACACAATATGGACGTCGGTTCCACCTGTTGCTATTTTGTATCCACGAGATATTAGACCTTCGCAGAGACGTTGGGCATTCTTGATTACCTGAAAACAGAAAATTAAGCCATATTCCTAATATATAAAGGTAAATTTACGATTAATTTAACTTGACGATTCAAAAGTGTACTTGGTTACCTACTTGAATAAAGATATTTTGAGTTTGAGTTTGATATACAAAAAATATTTCTAAATATAAATTTATAGCCTGTTCTCATATCAAGGGCGTAGAACAGACGAGAATAAATGGCAGTAAATTCTCCGTCAATTTAAAAATTAAAGATTTTTGTTTTACATAATATTTACACAATGCTTCTCGAGTCAAAGGAAATGAATATATGAATAAAAGTAAATAATCAAAATAAAAATTGTTTTGGGTTGGCCCAGGTTGATTTGACTGTACGAAGTTATACACGTGAAATTTCTTTCGGTGCAAACATTATCAAATTATGTGCATATTTATGTAAATTAAAAATAAATCAATGGCGCTACAACCTTTTTAGGTCTCGGCCTCAGATTTCTGTATCTGTTTCATGATCATTTGGTAATCTAATAGGCAAGTAGGTGATCAGCCTTCTGTAACTGACGCACGCCGTTGACTTTTGAGTCTAAGGCAAGCCGGTTTCCTTACGATGTTTTCCTTCACCGTTCGAGCGAATGTTAAATGTGCACATAGAAAGAAAGTCCATTGGTGCACAGCCGGGGCTCGAACCTACGATCTCAGGGATGATAGTCGCACGCTGAAGCCACTAGGCCAACACTGCTTTGATTGCTGCTGATTTATGTTAATAGTGTAATTAAACTCGGGTTTATAAACCAAGTTCTATTTAACTGACACGTTCATTTTTCTAATATCTATTTCAACTATCGCGACACAAAAAGCTAAATCGTCCGTCAAAGCTCACCTGTCGTTGGTAATCAGCGAACTCTGGTAAGGTAGCTTGTTTCATTGCTGTCGCGATAGCTGCAATGGCGTGGTTATGCGGTCCACCTTGAAGTCCAGGGAACACCGCCATATTGATTTTATTCTCAAGGTCGTACATAATCTTTTCTCCTTTCGCGTTTACCGATCGAACCCCTTTGCGGTAGAAGATGACGCCCGCTCTTGGTCCACGAAGGGTTTTATGGGTGGTTGTGGTCACTATGTCACAGTACTCGAAAGGACTTGGTATGACTCCTGTAAAAGATATTAATAATTCATTCATATATGGGTTTCCCAGCTTAAAACCTGTATCTATTTAAATATTTAATCGGTTTTACCGGTTTAGTACACCAAGTACATAATTTATTCCGACATCGTTTAAACAGTTGAAACGCGGTTTCAAAAGAAACAAGATAAATAAATGACGACTGATCTAGATAAAGTAGTGATGTTGGTTATTTCGAATATGTGTTTGCGTGTTGTTTCTACGAAAAAGTAAGTGCGTGCTCCTATTTCACCATGCCTCCTGCTGATAGAGGACAAATCTTTGTTTTTAATTTATGTTATTATTATTAATTACTTAAAATGTCACATGGGACATGGTGTAATGGTTGCAGCTTCTTACAAACATTTTGTAAAACAAAAAAATGACGATTAAAAAGAGTGGCGGAGAGTTTATTGCCAGTTCTTCTCTCCCGTTCTACGCCCTTGATTTGAGAACTGGCAGTAAATGTAAAATAAGAAGCATTAGAAGTGTACCTTATGTTAGGTATGTTAGGTATTATGTTACCTATGTGATAAAATGATTTTTTTTATTTTTAAAATATAAAAGTAAATTTCGGAATTCTTTTATTTTCGTATGGGCTATACCGGCTGGCAATTCTTTGGACAACAAAAACTCTTATTTCAAGAAAATTAAAGCGTATATTTACAAAAACAAGAAAAACCAAGTGTTTAGTCAACATGCTATTTTACGTTTTATACCTGGGTCAGATTAAATTAGGAAATATAATTAATCATAGCTAAAGTGAATGAATAAGCAAGTGCGAAGCGATGAATGGATATAAAAAACGATAATTGTCTTCACATTAATATGTAAGAACGGTTTTGAACGCAAAGATTTTTTTATGTAATTTTAATATACATATTTAATTTCTTGTTTTAAGTCAGAAAAATCCTAATCGTACAATAAACTAGAAATAACTTTTGAACTTTATATACCAATTTTAATATGCCTGCACCGTACTCGCGAGCCTGGCTAGATTGTTTTACACTCAGAGTGAGTGATACCGAGAAGTAATACCCCTATGGGCGGATCAGGAGAGCCCATTTATAAACAACAGTTATCAACTCTGTTTATAGAATATTATACACCATTTACCTGCTGCAACAAGTCCAGAAATATGTGCCATATCACCCATTAACAACGCGCCATTCTCGTTGGCGATTTCCTTAAACCTCTTATAGTCCAGACAACGGGAATAGCAACTGATCCCAGCGATTATAAGGCGTGGTTTAAACAATTTTGCTGTTTCGGCCAATTTGTCATAATCAATTAGACCTGTGGAAGGATCCACCTACGAACAAATGATATGTTTGGTTGAAATTACTTAAAGTAAAAGAAACCAAAGAATAATCGTGAATAATCAAAAGGGGTGAAGAGTGTAAAAGTTAAGTGTCTCGATTGTTTTAAGAGAGGTCGTTTGCTTCTCCGCATATATTATGGTAACAGAACTGTTAGATACGAATGAATAATATTCTTACTATACGTTACACAATATTTAATTTTATGATTGAATATACTTTAAAGCTAAAGAACTGTCCATTTATAACGTGATGTTTTTTTTAACATTTTTTATAACTCCTCCCTCCCCCATGGTGATACGTGGTGAGGTTTAAGACAAACCCCCCCCACCACTCACCAAAAATCACGTGTATTTTTCAGTACCTATAAATAATCTTAAATTTTTTATAATATTATTTTTAAGTACCGGTATAAAGTATAATCTAATCCTATTCTAGAAAATTAAGGACCATGATAAAAATGTCTAGAGAGAAAGGTTGCAGGTTGTTTTTGACTGGCATAAAAATAATATTAATGGAATGGTGTAATCATGCGAAAAACATAAATTGTATAAGTACATGAACATATTTAATGTACATTGCCATAGATTAGCAAGACTTTCTTCAATACTAACAACCGGATCTTGCAAGTCAGTTGTTGGCACTGTACTTTGTTGAAGATCAACGTCGGTTTTATCAAGCCACTCGGCGTCATCACGCGCTCTACGCAGAGAATCTCTCTCGATCTACTGATCGATCGTTTATCTAAGCCGCTTCTCGGTTTAGAAATCAGGCGTTTGACAAAAAAATAAGCACACGTGTTATCTTACTATACCCCCCTACACCTATTGATATTTCGTGATTTTCGCAGAACCCCTCCCACGCTTTCGAACCTCACGTGATTAATGGACAGCCCCTAACCTACTTATATAATATTTAGGTCAATATTGTAAATAACACAATAATAACCATATGGAATTATGATTTTTTGCTTAAATAATTAACATTATTATTATAAAAAAATGAGAAATGTTATAATACATAATAATAAGACGTATTTGAATTTTCTTGGCAATTAACGGGCAGATAAGATACTATTTTAACCAATACAACCGACCTGTAACTAATTAAACAAACGTTTCATTTGTTATAATTGTGGATAGCGAGAAATAAAACTTAGTTATTTCTTTCATACCATAAGAGCAATGGTAAGTTAATTGCTAGAGTTTAAAATTTTTGGTTAGAGGAAATTGAGTTAGACCATACAGTACCGACTTAAAAAAAATGAAGGTACCGTCCTTCGACATAAATTTTTAGCATTCCCTATTTACAAAAATAGCCGGGCTTATTTGAGCCTGTTTGCCATTCGCTAGTTAAGCTAGAGTCAACGTTATTAGTAATGATCAACATTCCAATACGACCTAATATGGACCATTTAATGGCATTAGCATTGACACAGATTATGTAACATATATTGAGAAACGTAGCCTATCTTATCCGCTTGTCTAATAGAAATTGATATTCATATACATTGTATATCGTTTTATAATGACGTCATGATATTGCGTTGGAGTTATAACACTTTGATGCGCCATAAGGGTGGTGTATAAGGGAGCGTTCAAGTATTACGTAACGAATTTGGGGGTCCTTTTGTAAAACGTTACGATACGGGGGGGGTCAATAATCTCCAAAAATTGCGTGACGTAATACTAGAAATGAATTGTTATAGTTAAAATAGGATAATAAAATATTTATTTCTAGGAAATAGAATTAATAATTTGCATAAATTATTGTTGTATTTGTTAGGAATAGATCAGGATCCGGTTACTCTACCTTGTAGGGCATGCTTTCGAAGAACATAGATGTCGCTGATATTTTCTTAGTGGAAGTAAAAAATCCATGGGTTAAATGGCCGCCATCAGGAAGATCTAACCCCATGATTCGTCCATGAGGCTCTACAACACCGGTGTACACAGCAAAGTTTGCTGGAGAGCCTGAAAAATTCATTTGAATATATATATACTTTAATTATTCAATAGATTATAATTGTAGTACTAATGTGTATATGTGGCTTCTTTTATAAGAATAAATAGGTATTAAATAGTAATTAAATAAAAATATTTTTAATTTTTACTTAATAACACTCTTTAAAAGTGCCCTTTAGGCACTACACACATCTTTAGCATATAATTCAATTGAAGTTGAATCTATGAAATTGATATAATTAATACAAACACAATACTTGAATTGAGTTTTAAAATTGAAGGTTGAATTTCCACACATTTTATTGTGTAATACTGGAGAGTAATAACTGATAAGAGAGCTCTTACTTACCATAAATACTTATTATGCAAGAAAAATAGTTATTTAATAAGTATTGACATCTGAGTAAATGCTCATTAAGTAAAATACATACAATAATAATTATTATTGTATGTATAATTATTGTTTTATCACTTGGAGTAAATATACACATAATTAGCTAATGGCTATATTTTTAATAGACACTATATTTCACTCAATCACTTGGTAAATTTTTTAGTATGTTCACAAGTGATTAATGCTAGTCAGTAGGAATTTATACATATGGTTGTTTAGACACCCTACTACACTGCCTATTTTTTGTTGAATAAACACTTGTGATAATTTAAGAACCATACTACATGTTTTTTCACATGTACTATGTTTTTTCTTTCCTATCTTCTTACACATTTAAATAAACCTTAACTACTTTGGAAACATTAAGTTATTGCATATAAATTTGTGAAAGAATTTCTTTTTTTAATTATTAAATGTGATTGTATCTTAGTGCATTTCTTTAAACAGTGATATTCACATAAGAGACAAATAACAAATAAGGCATAATGTTTTTATGTAGTTACTAACACTAGTCTGAAATAAACTTTATTTTTGTAATACAGATTTTTCTTTCCATTTAACAGCAACTCTTTGTAACAACAAAATATGCACAGTCCCTTGAGTGTCATTATATCGAGTTAACACTGTATTTAAAGAAACTCAGAAGAGTATTTATAAATTGTTCAGCATATTTTTTAATACAAACACAATAAGATAATATACACTTCTACATACCAGAGTAAGGTTGAACATTAACACCCCATTCTTCAGGATTCAAACGATAAGCTTCTATAGCTCGGTTCTGGGCTAGGATTTCTATTTCATCAATAAACTCATTGCCTCCATAGTATCTAACACCCATAAAGTCAATTAATCAGATATATTTTTTAAACGAAATAAAATTATTTGTCATTTAATTAAAATAAATAAAATGTACTTATAATAAAATATCTATTTTTTTCTAAGTTTCACATCACAGATAAAAAAAAAGAAACAAATTATTTTACCTTTGATTTGGCATTCCCTCAGAATATTTATTATGAAGACAGGAACTCAGGCATTGCAGAACGGGAATTGATGTAAAATTTTCAGACGCAATCATCTCCAGACCACTTTGTTGGCGATGCTTCTCATTTTGAATAATTTTATACAGTTCTGGGTCTGTGTCCCGAAGATTTCCATTCATCAGTTTGTTATTCATGGTACTTGAAAATCTGCTATTATGAAATTTCCCCTAAAATATATGAAGAATATAATTAATAATAAAATCAATTTTTCACTGATACGAAATGTGTGTACAACTGATATAGTTCAATAGTGTGAAGATACTTGATAGAGGCTTAAAAATACTTTTGAGGTCAGAAAAGCATTGACATCATACTGATAAGTGACTAACGCAATACAAAACAAGATTGAACGATACTGAGATAGTTTAAAATAATAATTATAATTAGACTTTTGCACATACACAAATAGTTTTGACTTCGCAGGAGTTTTACACTTCAAAATATTCAAAAGAACTTACTTATCAACAATTAAATAAATTCGCGTGTGTATCCGTTAAGTATTGCACTTATAATATACAGTATATTAAGAGTATGTAGCCTTTTATCAATACGAACCTAAAAATGCACACTGCATGAACTGCTGAACATTAACTTACTTTATTAACCTCAATCTCAATGTTGAATGTAATTCAAAAATTTTACCAACTTACAACTAAAATGTTTCAAAACTTTTTATAAACTTACCACAGTGTAGATTTTCCTATGAATGTTTTCCGATGATTCCCGCAAATATTGTAAATAATAAGGTTTTAAACACTGAGAAGCATCTTTAAAATAAGATTTTAAAATTATGTTCCACATTTCTTATGCTCTAAAATATTATTTAAGGAATTAATACAAACGGGGTCTATTTTTTAATGAAACAATAATTACTTCTATCAACATTGATAACCCATTATGAACTTTCGAGCCATCTAATACAACTCGCGCCCGCTAGCGGCGATATCACCGATACTTTGACATAATATTATATTCCGACATGATTGCTATTTGAATTTTGGCGCCTAATTGTGGAGGAGAAGTGAGAACTGCTACTGCTATAATTATATTATAATAAAACATTTTAGATCTTATACAAACAGTACTTTAAAAAATTAAACCATCTTTTATATATAGTACTCTCAAAAAAAAAAACTCTTTATTGTTCATACTATCTGAATGTATGGGGTATTTCCTACTTCTCAAAAATCACAGTATAATTTTAGTGGTCATTAAGTAAAGTGAGCGTAAAATAGTAAATAATGTTACAAGCTATTGACAAACTACACTACTCAGTTCTAAAGTTCAACTACTTACAGAGTATAACAAGTTATGCACTATATAAGTTACAATATAATTTTAGTGTGGTTCCTAAAGTAGGAAGAAACTTCAATATACCTTACTCTTATTGTAAGCCAAAGTCATTGTCTGGTTGCAGGAAAACGGTATTCAACTTGTATGTAGTATAACGTCAACACAGGAGCGAACTTGGTTCTGATTTTAAATTCAGATTTCTTAACATTCTGCTATTTATTATTAGGAAGCAAAACGTAAACGGGAATTCATGAAATTTTTAAATAACCTTTTGGAGTCCTCATTTTATTAAATATCGTGACGCAAACGATATTGTTGACCAATGTGCCAAAAATATACGTCAGGCGAAAATAATTTGTACGAACTCTGATGCAAATATGTAGTCTAATAGGTAAAAAAAGGGATACGTGTGGCTTTTAGCGATTATTTTTTATGGGTATTATTAATATTATCTTTGATACCATAATAGGAGTTATTTAACATTATTTGCAGAACACGTAGACTAAAATTATTAATAAATACAAATACAAATATTTTATCGTACTGGCGATTACGTTATACTAGTTAAACGTTTAAAGTATTGTTCGACTCGAGATTATAAGATCTCGAGGTCAAACCCAGGTCCTGAACTCTTTATAGGTATTTTTCGGAAAATAGAAATGTTTTTGCGACTTTTTGAAACATCAGTGGTAACGGCTTTTTGCAAGATAGTCTAGTCTTAAATAAGGCTGCCTGTTAGTTTTTCTTTTACTTTAATTAGATTTATTAAGTGTTTTATTTTTCTTTTATTCTATCTTTTTAATATAATATTAGGTGTGTTTGTGGTTTACGGGCATTAATTCGATCAAAGCATGATGTGATGTAGCCTTTCTTAATAAATTTACTACTTATATGTATAGTCAAGTCCATGCAATTAAAGTAGATACTATAGTTATAATAGAGAGATTTTCTACATTTAAAGTCCAACCCTGGATTGCGTTTCGAGTAAGATCCAAATTACAACACACGTCATTTAAGTGAAAATCTACTGAATAGGGACTATATTTTTTTAGCACTTAATTAATGTATATAAAGTGCAGACCCGACAGACGTTCACACGTCTTAAATAAAACGAAAATCTAAACTATTCTCAAATCCACACCCACAAGCAAAATCTTTATCGTAATCGTTCCCGCCGTTTAAGAGTAGTTTTTAAAAATTCAGGCCCAGAAGATTTATAAGTAAAATATGAAATGGTGAATTTAGGTGGCAACAAGTATTATATAAATTACAAAGACGTCGCAATATATCCTATGATAATTTATGCGACATATATTCTAATTATCTTAATTTCGATAAAATTTTACCTTGTTTTTTACAAAACGTAATTAATAGTAGGAATGTTAAATTGTTTTTTATCTAATTCTATAACTCAGGCACTTGTACACTGTCGAGTTACGGGGAATATAATTAATTTTATTTGTGTATTAGCACTGAAGTATATGGCACGCTAAGTTTGATAAAAAGCATACATTTTACAGAATCTTCAAATCGATAAATTATCCTATCGATTGAGTCAATCCTCTGGTTATCCAGTAGAAATTCTATCTAATTATGAGTTTGACGTCATAAATAAAGAAATTTATTTATAAGCTCTATAAAAACACGCATGCTTAAAATTTTACAAACGTTACAAACTTTACATATCAATTAAATTAGAACATTAAAATGAAATTACAAACTAGCAACAACAACACAGGCAAACTGTAAAAATAAAAACACATATATAAACTAAAACTAAATAGAAACTTAAAAACTTTAACCTCATTGAGAGCGTAATAAACCAAAATTAAAAAGTAGGGAGATTCTTATGAAATATTTTCATTAATGTTAGTAACTAAATTGTAATAGCGAGATAGCCTATTCACAGGACTATTAAAAGTATCATATAAGCCAGCCGTTGGTATGTATAAAACTAAGGCCTACAACGCACTAGCGGCTGGCCGGGATGCGGTGTGCCGCTGCGGTAGGCCGCACATCGATTATTACATGAAACCGCACGATAACGACGCACTGATTTGCGGACAACCGTCAACCGCTCCGGTTGTTCTGGAGCTGCGACGAGCCGCACCGGTTGAATGATGCGGCGCGCCGCGTCCCCTCCATGCACTCGGCGCGGTTAGCCGCAAATACCGCGTCCTTCCCGCCTCAGCCATCGCTTGTTCCTTGCGCTAGACACTACGCAGAGTTTTTTTGACGATATTTTCTACGATGATATAAATAAATAACTGCCGCAACTTCTTCAACGTCCATCATGTGCAATATTTCAAGAAGTACTGACGAGTGACGATTGCGGCAGACCGCAATAGGGACGGTTAGCCGGAATACGGCATGCCGCTACGGCAGACCGTATATACCGCGGCCTACCGCAGCGGCACACTGCACCGCATCGCGGCCAGCCGCTAGTGCGTTGTAGGCCTTATTTCTAGTAACTCTAGGATACAAAGAAATGAAAATTTAGCGAGAAGGTTAGTATGAAAATTAAAGTTAAATATTTTAAATAAACAAGGTCAATGAAGACACGTCGGAGTTGTCTCTGGACACTCGAAATGGTCTTAATGAGCCTCGTACGTAAACAATAGACTACGCAAGTGTAGATGATTGAACAGTTTGATAAAAAAGGTTTTTGTACTGTCTCAATGGTATTTAAATTTTGTAATGTGGTGACAAAATGGCAGCAGCATATTCAAACATACTACGTAGTACTTTTAACGTAGCATTTTATTAGCTTTGTTGGCAGTTGTTTCCGTGTGTTCAATAAAATCGATCAGTTTGTGATTCAAGAACTACCCCAAGGTCTATTGAAGCGTCTTTACAAAGTAATGGTAAGTTTCAAATGTAACAAATGTGTATGTGTGTAGATGTGTTGGTAACAAAACATTATTTATTGGTCTTGTTTGTAAATGAGACATGACAAAATATTACGAAGTTGATAGCAAAGAACGAATATCCCGTAGAAGAACACATAGCTGTAACGATTGATGAGTATGAACTAATAACAATTAAGCCAGTTAATATTCTTGAAAAAGGATCGCCAGTGTTTCTAATGCATGGGCAACTAAGCAGCTCCGATGACTGGGAAGGGGAGTGTAAGTAGTGGGGTCGGATACCTTTTAGCGCAGCTAGGCTATGATGTATGGATAAGAAACACAAGGGGACAAAACCCTCAATTTATAAGCCTTACATTAGACAATATTTTAATATTTTCGCATCGGAAACATCAAAAAGTCAATCGCCGCCCGTAAAAAAAAACACAACCGGTGCTGTAATTTTTTCGACAGGGTAAGACCATATAAGTACCATATTTTGTAACATTTTGAAGACTGTAATCATACTGTCAAAAAAACCATAATTTATCAAATGCTCATAATGCTAAAACTGTTTGGTCGTTGCTCCCGATGGAAAATAAAAGAAGTACCTGAAAACCTTCTTGCGGGGACGCTTATTTTATCAGAAAATTAATAGTACAATTTGTGTGATTCTGATTAACTCAATAATTATTAATGGCTGGCATTGTTTCTACTTCTAATATATAAAATTCTCATGTCACAATGTTCGTTCCCATACTCCTCCGAAACAGCTCGACCGATCCTTTGAAATTTTTTATGCATAGGTATTCAGTAAGTCTGAGAATCAGCTACTATCTATCTTTCATACCCCTAAGTAATAACGGTGTTCACCCCAAAAATTTTGTTTTTATTTTTATTATGATACAACAAACAAAAATACATACAACCCCTACTTTTCACCCCTCTGCGATCAACCCCTATTTTTTTATTATAGTAGATAGTTATTTTTATTGAAATAAAAAAATTAAGCCTAGAAATAATATACATGGCAAAACAAGGTTTGCAACGCAGCTAGTAATTACACAAATAACGTCATGTAAGAACCAAATCCAATTTCGATATTGTTCTCTCAATGGTAATTAAGTGGTACGAAAGTTCAATAGTATTCAAATAAAATTCGTTATCGCTATTAAAAATTACTTCGTAGCATTATATTTTCCTAATTACAGTCATCAATTGCTTAAGTAACGTTACAATGGTTAGACTAAGAGGTTACAATTTAGTTTTATTTCTTATTTTAATTATGCAGATAAAATGTAGTACAAGTAAAAAAACATCAATACGTGACATTACAGAAGATTTCCACGATACCTTGCCAAAAAATAATAACAAAAATAATAAAAATATAATTGAGCAGAAATTACGAAATGATGGGAAAATAAACGATGATATTTATTTGAATATAACTCAATTGATAACAAAATATAAATATAGCGTGGAAGTGTATGAGGTTATCACGCCAGATGGATATGTAATAAAAATATTCAGGATACCAGGAAATGGTGCTGTTGTCTTCCTTATGCATGGTCTAATAAGTAGCGCAGATGACTGGATATCCGGTGGAGTGGAAAGCGGACTGGCGTATCTTCTAGCACAGCTGGGCTATGATGTATGGATGGGTAATGCAAGAGGAAATAAGCATTCAAGATCTAACATTTATATTGACCCATCAGAAAAGAAATTCTGGGATTTTAGTTTCCACGAAATAGGTATGATTGATGTACCAACAATGATTGATTTTGTACTGGAAAAAACGAACAAATCCTCATTAATATACATCGGCCACTCACAAGGCACTACAGCTTTTTTTATTATGTGTTCTTTAAGGCCCGAGTATAATAAAAAAATAACCTTAATGATATCATTGTCACCTGTCGCATGGTTATCACACATGAAAAGTCCCGTACTTAATATTTTAAAGCCATTTTATGGGGAACTAGTGTTTCTGGCATCAGCTTTAGGCGTCGTGGAAGTAGTTCAAGATTCACGTGTTCTGCGAGGGTTACAGAAGATGTTTTGCGGTGATAAGGTGTGGGCTTTTACTATTTGTCAACATCTTACTTTTATTATCGGTGGATTTAATTATAATCAAACGAACTATGAGCAGTTGCCCGTGATTTACAATCATTTTCCATCGGGTTCATCATTAAAGCAAATACAACATTATGCACAATTAGTGTTATCTGGTCATTTTAGACAATTTGATTATAAAGTGGAAAATATTAAAAAAATATGGATCTCTAACACCTCCGTCTTATCCTGTAGAAAAAATAACAGCACCAGTTGCACTTTTCTATGGAGAAGGCGATTGGCTCTCTGACGTCAGTGATGCCCAAATTTTAAAATCCCGCTTACCGAATTTAGTTGAATTTTACCGAGTAGATGATGAAAACTTTTCTCACTTTGATTTTATTTATGCTGCTGATACGAAGAATTTATTATTAGCAAATATTTTAAGATTAATAAAAAAGATTCACTGATATAGTGTTTTTACATCAAATGCACATTAAAGTTTATGTACATGTCGGAGCAATGGCGCTGGTATCAGCTGCCATTATCATCATAATTTAATAACATCAAAGTCAAATTAGTTAAAAACCGTTATATGTTTTTTTTTTGTTTTGCCAATATTAATAGATCTATCTCATTCATACGTCATTTATATTAGTAATGTTGGCGACTCATAGATTTAAATACTATTAAGTATGAGCTATAAGTAAAATAAGAATATTGTCGATAGCGCATAAGTAGAAATTAAGTATAAATAAGTTAGATACAAATATGTAAATAAATTAAGGGAAAAATACAGTTAAATAAATTAATAAAATGCTTCGCCGAATAAAAGGGTCCCGTAGCTCTCGTCGCGGTTTACGCGCGCAGATGTCTGTAAGCACAGCTCTCGTCGCTGTATACTGTTGAAGTACTTAAGCTCGGCGAGATCTACGCAAAATCCTCTTTCCTCCGACAACGAACTGGGACCCACCAATCATCGGCGAAGCAAGAAACAAGAACAAGGCGCAGTTTCATTTCAAGACAACATCCTACAATTACGCACTAGCAGGGGTGCGTGGGTTGAGGCGGTGCCAGCAATACGTCGAACCGTCTTGACAAAACGCCTGAGTCTCCGAGGTGTCGTGGGGGTTGGCATCAACAAGTAATGTTACCTACGTCAATAAAGATAGTAAAGTAAAGTGGGAGAATTATTTACCCTTGTTTTGAAAATAAAAATATAATTACAAACTAGAATACGAAGTATCAAAAGACTCCGCAAGATCAAATGTGGCGTTGGCTTCAAGAGGCCAAACAGTCATAGTGAGTATTCATAATATGGGGAACATTAGGATACGAAATCTTTTCATCCAGTCCATTTTTTATTTTACTTTATGACAAATTTAATATAACGATAGCGACCCGTCTAGTAAAATCAAATTAGTATCTATTTTTATTTATTAATAAGAATATTGTCGTCGTCGGCATGTGACATGAAATAACCTATGCCAGTGGTATTTCACCGGCACAATCAGTCAACCTCCTTCCTAGTGGAAGTGCCATGCTGTTGTTTTGGGCTAAAGCCAAAGGGGTGACATGAACGGGGCAATATATAGTACACAGTATCGCACAAAACCGGTGTGAAGTGATGGAATAGGTTTACCTAATTGTACTCGCGTTTCGTGCGGTGAGTGAGATTCCCAAAGATCATCACCCCTTCCCTCCCTAATAAATATAAACTACTAAAAATACCACACGCGCTCGCGGTGGAGAATCCCTCTCTGGGCGTCCTCCACTAGGACGCATAGGCTGCCCTTCTTAACTCTGCGCTCTATAATTAGCAAAAGAAACATTCCAATCCAAAACCAGTTAGTTTTGTATCGATCTCGGGTCAAACGGAACGTTATATCAAGGGCCCTTTCACGCTAGCTGTGGACTTCACAAATGTTAGGGGGCTTAATACTAAGGGTGCGTCCACTACGTTACATACACATTTAGAGACAAGGCTGGCTTCGTAGCCATGGCGTATAACGTATTGCAGGGACGTATAGCGTGCGGGATGTGGGCTATTACACACTCGTGCTTTTTCTTTACCTTTTCCGAACTAGTGCGTTTTCTTTCCCAACTGTCAAAATAATGTCTTTAAAAAAGAAAAAACCAACCTCGAAGTTTTTACTAAAAAAAATTCATAGAAATTTTTATGATTCATGCAAATATTTCTAAAAAGAAGCTACTGCTTTGTTTCAATATAAGATTTAATGATTTGATTCAATGAGATAGGTTAGATTTCATTTCATCTCATTAAATTTCATTTCATATCAATAAAAAATTGTACTGAAGACTTGGCTGTATGCCCCTTTGCCTACCCAGAATGGGTGAAGAAAAATAAATTGTGCGTGTACTAGGTGTACACACGTAAGAAGTGAAACTTCTTTATGATCTTATTTTTCGAAAAATGATCTACTATATGCAACTTTACAGAAATTCGTTAAATTAGATAAAGTTTAACAAAAGGCTTTTATTATCATAGACATGAATACAAATATTTCATTTTACCTTATTACTACGAAGATTATTATAGAATTTCATTAATTGTAATAGAATTATTACTATCATTGAAAAACGTGACGATTTGCTACAAAATTTCTCCCATACGTCGATAAAGAAGTTTCATTCCAACGCCGATAATGAAGTTTGACTTCAAAAAGCAACATGGCGCATAACCGAAAAATGTGACGCGTAACCGAAAAATGTGACGCGGAACGCAAAAATGTTACACTAAATTTTTTCCAACCTCGATAAAGAAGTTTCACTTCAAAAAAATATCTTCTTATATTCTTTTACGGTTGGCGCCATTTTCCATAAATGTTCTTTGCGCGTTTAGTTGTTTGTTATATTATATATTAAATATACATGAACAATCATACGAAATTAATAATAGTTTGTCTCAAACAGTAAATAAATATGCAACCTAAAACTTCTCCAGTTAGTATAAAAAACTGTACCAATGTATATGTGAACAATAATTTGTATAAGAAATAAATGATTAGTTAGTTGAGTTTATTGTGTTTTTATTATTTTATTAAATTGCATAATTTTTTCGCAACTGTATTAAAAATAGTTGTTCAGTACACGTGTGGAACCGTGGAACGTGTGTTACAAGGTGGTAAGTTACTGGCATCGAAGTTTCTTAAATTCTTTCGATTGAATTCTTCATTTATATCAGATACCATGTATGTATTAATAAACAACTGTAGTCTGGCAGCATCTACATCAATTATTCCAGGAATGATAATTTTTTGTATTATGTTGAATACACGTTCTTCTTCATCTACATCACCAACAAAATCCAACGTACCAAAACGGTGAAATGCTTGTTGGTAATTTTCATGGCTTTAACAGCGCAGTCGGTCTCACTCAGTCTCATGCGCGTAGATAATGCTCTCGCGCTCCCACTCACAGAGATATTAAAATTTAGTTTAGGGGATGATTGGCCCCTTGGATCGGTCTGTCTTCTTGTCAAAGCTTTTAAAATAGTTGTCGGATGAACATATATAAAAATGGAGCGTCAGAATTTACGTGAAGTTGACTAATTATTTTGAGACCCTTAAAGCGTCTGTCAAGCAATATGGCCGACGGAAAGTGTCTGGGAGTATTGACAATTTATTTTTAACTATACACTCGAAAACATATATAAAAATCAGCCATGAGAATTTACGTGAAGTAAGTAATGTTTTTGTGTACCTTGATTACCTGATACCTGGAAATTGGCCGTTTGACCAAGCTAGCAGGTAGGCATACGATCATAGTACATACTAACACTACCCAATCGTCCACATTTCATCCGTCAGAAAATACGTGACGTCTGGCGGCCCTGGGATCTTGCTCTATCATTGCAACTTGTTCCATTTGTCGAAACTCTTTGCAATAACAGGCTTTCCGCACTTGTAATGAAATATACTATTTAATTTGACATTCCAACATTTTTACAACTTTTTAAATAAGAAAACCTAGCCTTACTGTAGGGTTTTACAGATAAAATATTTCTTAAAACATTGTATTTTTGGGATAGAACTAGAAGGATTAAAAAAATTACAAGAATATCACATGTATTTAATATTGTAATAAAAAAACTCAGTTTCTTTTGTTCATTATAAGTCCTAGAAATTACTTTTTAACTGAATGTAGGTGTATATTTTTTTGTAATATAATTTATTTTATTTATATACCTTTAGGGTCATGGCTTGTTTCTTTATGTTTAAATAAATTTGAGTTACGGTCGGGTCAATTTAATTGATCACATTTGTGTAACATTGATTACATACTATCGAAAGATTAGAAATTTCAATATTCGTTCGCAACACAAAGAATACATACGTAAATGAATACACCTGTGATAAAATACAATATTTATATTAAAACGATGAATTTAGGGAATTTAAATTATATGCAGATACAAAGGTAAATAACGTAGAAAATGTTAACTTAATCTAGATGGCAAGAGAAAATGTTCATGACTTTTCACATGTCTGTTCATAGTCGTAGTAATTAAAAGTAATTGTTTGGTTTCTTCTACGTTTACTATGTGTTCTCTAAACAAACAAATCATTAAATTTGCAATGTGTCCAGAATATATTTTACACTCGATAAGGAATTGATTTTATTAACCTGAGAATGTTTGGCAGTACAAGTTGTTTTGAGGCTTTTGCAGAAATGAAATCGTAGTGATTGAAATTTTTATCTTTAACTCTATAGAAATCAAAACAGTTTTCGTAGATAACTTTTTAATATTTTTGCATCGGAAACGTCAGAAAGCCAATCGCCGTCCCCGTAAAATATAGCAACCGGTGCCGTAATTTTTTCGACAGGATAAGACGGAGGCGATAAGGTACCATACTTTGCAACATTTTTAAGTCGGTAATCATACTGTCGAAAGTAACCAGAATTTATCAACTGCGCATAATGCCAAAGCTGTTTGGTCGATGCTCCCGACGAAAAATGATTAAAGATAACAGGCAACTGTTTCAAATTCATTTGATCATAATTAAAGCCACCAATAGAATACAGTGCGTTTTGACATATTAATAATGACGTCAGAACGCCACCACAGAATGTTTTTTGGAACAACCGCAAAAACGGTGTGTCTTGAAATACTTCGTGAATTCCTAAAGATGTAGCGACAAGTTCTAGTGTTGCATAATATGGCTTGAGGTAATTAAGTAAAGGGCTTTTGAGGTGTGACATCCATGCAATAGGTGATAAAGCTATCATTAAATCAATTTTGGCGTTATACTCGGGACGAATGGAACTCATTACAAAGAAAGTTGAGGTGCCTTGTGAGTGGCCGATGTATATTAAAGATGATTTGTTTGTTTTTTTAAGAATAAAATCAATCATTGTTGGTAAATAAATTACTCCTATTTCATGAAAACTAAAATCCCAAAAATCCTTTTCTGAAGGACTTTTTCGAACGTTAGACCTAGAATATTTATTTCCTCGTGCATTACCCATCCACACATCATAGCCCTGTTCGGCTAGCAGGTACCCCAAGCCGCTTTTTACTCCAGATGTTAACCAATCATCAGTGCTTTTAGCAGGCCGTGCATTAGAAAAGTTATGGAGCCATTTCCTGGTATCCTGAATATTCTTAATTTGTACCCATCCGGCGTAACCACTGTGTACTCTTCTACATGATAATTATTTTTCGTTATAAGTTGTGTAATGTTTAAAGAAATATCTTAATTTTCTTTGCTAGATTTTAGGAGTTTTAAAGCAGATCCTACAGTATTATGGAGTATTCTTTTATCACCCGTACATTCACTTGTAAATAAATATAATATATAAATAATAACTGAATGCTGGAATATTTTCTTCCCTAAGTACATGATTTCACAGAACCGCCTGCACCGTGGTGCATGGACGAAGTCACCTTGTAATGTCTTTTTTCTTCATGAATAATTAATGTATAAGCACTTGTACTTATTATTAAGCCGGTTGGTATACAGATAAGTCACGTTAATTTATTAGCCACGATAGGATTTTTTTGTAAACACAATAATACGTTCGTCTTAAATCTGTTTATTTCCAATTTCCCAGGTTCCATGTCACCACAAACCCAAATTAAGTGATCATGGCTCCCAAACCCACTGGAAACGGATGCAGGATTACTTAACATTAAAAATCAATCGAAATATAATCTAATTTAGATTTCTAATAGTTATGGATCTCCGATGTTTATGGAAATGGTATTCGTTTTTATAACAAACTTCCAAGCGAAATTAGAGAATCATCACTGAATAAATTCAAAACTCTCGTTGAACATAAATTAATCAATAAAGCTCAGTATAAATTTGACGATTATTTAAATGATCCTAATCGTTGGGATGGATTAGCTCCAGTACAAATATTTATGGTTGCTCTGCCTTACAAACAATTTGTATGATTCAATACTTGGCGATTAAAAAGAGTGACGGAGAGTTTCTTGCCCGCTCTAGTAGAGGGCATCTACTTGCGAACTAGTAGTAAATGTAAACTTAGAAACAATTCATAAAGTTATTTTGAGTTTATATATTATTTGTCACCAATGCCTGGTTGAGCAATCTTCGTGGCTCGGCATGAGAATATATTGGTATATTTTAATAATAACTCATTATAATTCCTGGTCGATTTCATTTTTTACGAATAAAATAAATTTGATACTGTTTTCAAGGTTTGAAAGATGGAAAATAATTACGTTACGTAATAGGTAATAAAGTTTTTATCGGATTAAATTGTTAGATTTAACTTTAAACTTATCCATCGTGTTTTCCAACCGCACGTGATGGCTTCCTATGAGTAATTTAATTAAAGTCATATTGTGCGAATGACCAAATATTAAATTATATGAAATTCATTTAATTGTCAATGTTAGTACTGAGTTATGCAATAATTCAGCAGCTTTATAAAAAGATTAAGACAGAACAGGCCCAGCTAGAAAAAAACATATTTTTTATTTGTATGTCGGTTTAAAGGAAAATAAATCAACCTAAATTAAACAATTTATTTCGTTCTCATGAATATGTCAATATAAACACCTTCCTTATATTTTTGTGTCGTTAATTATTCATTGCCCATACCTATTAATCATTCTTAGCATTCTCGGTAGCACCACGCCTTTTGTATCTTTCCCATAAATAAAATCAAAGTGACTGAAAGCATCTTCTGGTATAACATAGAAGTCTGCTAAGTTGGGCAGCTTAGAAACAAAAATTAAAATGTCACTAAGAGACGCCAACCAGTCTCCTCTACTATATAAAATAGCTATCGGGGTGGTGATTTTTTCTACAGGGTACGATGGAGGTGCGAGAGATCCATATTTCTCAATGTTTCGAATTCCATAGTCGTACTGCCTGAATTCCCCTGATTCTACCAATTGCCCGTAATGAACAAACTGTTTCACTGAGGCCCCAGCTGGGAATTTGTTATAAATAACAGGTAGGTTTTCATGATTTGTTTGATTGTAATTAAATCCACCGAGAATAGCAGTAAAGTGTTGGCAGAATATAAAGGCTGTCACATTGTTGCCACAGAAAGCTCGCTGTATAAGCCGCAATGTAGGTGTATCTCCAAGCAATTCATTTATGCCCAAAGCAGATGAAACAGACTCCAGCTGTTTGTTAAACTGACCCACTAAACGGATTGGAGGACTTACTACATTAGACATCCATGCGACTGAAGATAAAGCCAACATAAGATTCACTTTCTGATTGTATTCAGGCCGCAAAGAAGTGAGGACGTAAAATACAGAAGTTCCTTGTGAATGTCCGACGTATGTTAGTGATGATTTACTAGTTTTCTCAAGAACAAAATCGATCATAGCTGGTAAATCGTAGTATCCTATTTCATGAAAACTGTAATCCCAAAAGCTTTTGTCCGATGGGCTTATTTTGGTGTTCATTCTTGAATGCTTATTTCCTCGGTTATTCCCCATCCATACGTCGTAGCCCTGTGCTGCTAAAAGAAAACCAATACCACTGTCTACACCGGGTGAAATCCAGTCATCGGCCGAACAAAGTGCTCCATGCATCAAAAATACGACTGGACCGTTACCCGGAATTCTAAATAATTTTAACAAATACCCATCAGACGTGGTGACTGTATATTCTTCGACGGGATAGTTATTTTTCTTTATCAGTTGTGTTATATTCAAAGAGATGTCTTCATTTTGCTGTAAAATACTCTGTGACCATATTTGTGCAGATTGCTTCAACTGAGATTTAAAAGTGGACTCATGATCTTCAGTTATCAATTTGTTGAAAATAGGATTATCAATAAGGTTTGAGTAAATATCATTTTCACATTTAACTTCATGTTCAAATACACATAACAAAAAAGATATAATGAGAAAACACTTTTGTTTTGAATTTGCCATTTTCATTAACACGTATATGACAAGTCAGCTAAATCTAAAAAAACTTGATATTTATAATATATGATAAGAATGTTTATCAATCTAAATTACGATATCAAATATTATAAGAAAACTGCGTGCATAGAAACAATAGATTACTTACATAAAATATATCAATTTTTGTAAATTGATATATTTTATATATATATATATAATAAATATCTATATATATAATAACGAACATGTTACGGCCACTTCACCAATTACTTTTACCTTTTCTCATGGCCGATTAAATCATAAAAATTAACCAATATTTTGTATTTCTTATTATAGCATAATAAAGAAGTAGTGAAAAATCATTTGAAATCAGTATTAAGAATGGGTTTAAATTTATAACTGAGTTTTCCCGGTAACCACCTCGATTATTTTGATTACCGGATTAGGGATTTTGACAACATATAAAGTTGATCGCTGTTTATTTTTAAAATACTACCAAACCCTGCGAACTTCGTATTAAAGTTTTTGGGTTTAGCTAAACTCAAAAAAAAAATCGAATATATCTATGACGTAACAAAAGTCCTTTAAATTTTTAAGGGTTAATTAATTTATAGCCAAATAATTCCAGAGATTACAACCTTAACATTATAATAATATTAGTATAGATTAATATGGTATATCTCTTATATAACAAGCAGATTACGTTATCTACGTGATACATTAGTTCCAGTGATTTTCAAAAAAAATCTAACTATAAAAATTCAATAGATCTATCCTGATACAATTTGACATTTTGCCCTACTCTGTAACTCTTACTAGCGATTCCAGTGTCAAGTTAGCATAGATGGCGCAATTTGCATTAGAAATAATTTTGTGACATAATATGTAGATTTATTATTTATATTATGATATATATATCACAATATTACAAGTTTTACGAAATAAGGAAGACGAGATCACAATTGGTACCTAGTAAGTACCTCTGAACTCAATTTGAGCAGCTTCCACGTAACCCGTGTTTAGTAGCTCCAATCTTTCTTAAGTTCAATTTATGAGTAAAAACAAGTGATAAACATATTAAAACTACATTTTATGTTTTATTTATGTATGTACAAAATATTTACATAAAATAATATTTCTTTTACAACAGCTGCACAAGACGTAAACAGAAATAAACCTATATTTTAATATTATAGTAAAAATTGAGAAATGACACAGTTCTACGAATGTCTACTTCAAAAGGATAATCCTAAGGAAGTTATGACAGTTTAGTTCAATTGAATTATATAGAGTAAAGAATATTGTTATTATTATCAAAAAGTAATAATCGTACAAGTAGCGGCACGAAACTCTAGCGCTGACCGTTATTGCGCAGAAGTAAAAAATAAGGTACCTGAGGGGGGCTAGCGGGCGCGCGTAGCGTCGATTGGCTCTCCAGTCGCATTCCGTCCCCCGCGCGACAGTACACATGCGCAGCAATCCCCTCCACGTATCGGCCAGCGCTAGACTTACATGCCGCTGCCTATATATTTGCTTGATGCAATTAGTCGACAATACAAATAGATATTGTAGTGAATCGTAAAAGTATAAAATCCAAGTTTATATCAACCGATTTAACAAAATATGATAAGGATATACAAACATTACAAAGCTCATCGCTCGCAAACAAACAGAAAAATATTCGACTATTTCTCTATCATATTTATTTATGTTACAGGCGACGTGACGCTCGCAGATACCATTATAATATCATAATTATATTGAGCTTTTTACTCTTTGTTACATATATACAGATTAAACTATCAGAATTAAACCCTTATATACCAGCTGATCGCTATTTAATTTATACTTTATGCATTCTGCAAACGTTAAACACAATAAGGGTATTCATTATTTTTCTGAAACTAAAAAAAGAACAGAAGCGATATTAAGAAATAGAATTGAACGTAATGTTAAATAACTTTGACCCCGCTTTCCATTTCTTTATCACAGTTTATAAATTTGCGGTTTTAATCTACAATTCAAACAATAAATACTCTAATATTTACTGAGTTTTAGGATTACACAATATACATAAATTCTTTTTTCCCATTGGTCTAATTTTATATACAATCTAACACATAGCTACTTTAAAATAATAATTAAGACTATGTTTTTATTATCTATGCGTTTATATAAATTTCTTCGCGTTCATTTTTGGTATAATTTTTGGGAGGGAGATTCGTTGTGTTTTTAAGGTATGAGAAGCGATGGAAATTATAATAGTATTCAGTGCCATCTGGTGAGTACTGAGGGTAAAGCGTGTACGCTGGGAATTCGTGATCTTCAAAGGAGTTGCCCAGAGCGTGTCGAGCGAACTCCTCCTTATATCGTCATGATTGTTCCTTGTAAGCCTGTCGCTTAGTGCACTTTTCTTTAAGAATGTAACAAAGGGCGATTGCAATTAACACAGCGATCGCGATCGCCATACTTATACTAATCCAAATTATCTCTTCATTGATGCCACTTGTCGACTTTCCTGTAAGAGTAAAAAAAGTCATTATGATAGTATGTGTAGTGAAGTGGCCAAGGCTCCATATCAGAGACAGAGATGCTGTTAACACGAAGTTAAAGATAATTTTGTTTTCTAGTTGATATGTGGCAACAGATCAATCATCAAACATTCGTTAACACATTTTTTTTTAATTAGGGAAGGAATAAAGAACCATAGACTAAAAATAAAAAAAAAACTATGTTGATTTTATTTTGCTAATTAGTATGCGTTAAGATATTTATTATATCTATTCTATATGCTTAACGCATACTAACTACATTATATTAGTGCTTTAACTATTTATTACAATTTTTTTACATTAATTTATATAAAAAAATAGGAATTCATGTGACAGTGGAACACAAATTGGTCACAATTTGCAGCGTTAAATATAAGATAAGATAAATTATTCTAATGAATAAATTAATAATGATTGAAAAAGATAGGATAAATCATTAGAATAATTATTTATCTTATCTCAAACTGTTAGGTACAAAGTGCGACGGTAGGAATCTGTTATTGATGCTCATGTCGTGTCGAGGTACAGTATGTTTTTAAAAGTTGACATGTTTTTACAAGTAGGTAAATATAAAATAAAAGAATGTTCTTCAGAATAAGAAAATTATTAATGCTTTTTTATAGTTTGATCAATGTAATTTTTGAGATCATATTTGATATTTTGTTAGTCATTATTTTATACCTAAGCAGCTGTAGGTTCGTATTGTTTCTTCCTTATGTTGTCTCTATGCTCGATAACGTAAGTTTAATACGTTTTAATACGTAAAATAAAATTCGTTTCATATTCATTTCGTGTATAATTTTATACATCGCAAATAATTTGCGATAGTTTTTGTGTTAATATCTTAGGCTATTTTAAGTATTCTCATGGAACTATTTCTTTTAGTAATATCATGTGCATGGCGAATAAACACGGTGCACCCCAATAATCTTGGTACTGATAGGCAAATCAAGATTGCGGGAGATTTTATATAATTAATAATTGGATGCTTTTATCTAGATACGGAAAAAGTATAGATTAGAATAAATTTGCGATTGGACTAAGATAAAGATGGACGTACTTTGACTATCCGATCAATTTAGATAAATAAATTGCTTTAAATATTAATGAGGTGTTTATAGGGGCCTCATGAAGCTTACCTCCCACTTTGTTAGAATATCCACCCATTTTGCCGGCAACCCTGCCTGAGGCACTGCCAGCCAACACGAGCACAGCGCCCGTATGGAGATATATTCGACCTGTGATATTAGAATATCATTAGATTAAAATATACATACACGAATGATTGATGCTTCACCTGATGTTAAGTGATACCGCGGCCGCCCATAGACACTCTCAATGCTAGAGGGCTTGTGAGTGCGTTGCTGGAATTTGCATTGGTTCGGAAATACTTCAGTGGGTAGCTGGTTCGTGGCAAAAATTCGTGATGGTGCGTGGCAAAAACAGCGTCGACCACGTTTATTTATGTTCAAGGTGAAACAAATGTAATAAGAACAAATCAATGAAACGTGTAAAATGTCTACCTTAATTTAATCAAAACCAGTCTGTTTAGCAATTATTAATCCTACTCTTGTCTTTAGTTCTATAGGAAATATTTATTTATTTATTTATTTATTTATTTATTTAATAACAGCACAATGGCCAAACTTAGACTAAAAACAATAAACAATACAATAAAATACAATACAATTAAGATTTACAATACAGGGTAGCATTACCCTCTTATCCCCTCCAGGTACACTCTGAAAGCCCAGTATACCACCCCCATAAGCTTCCCAAACAGGTCGCTCTCCGGTGAAGAGTCGAGAAACCCATTAAGCAGTGAGAGTAGCCGGGGAATGGGCGCTTGTTGTCGCTGGACAGTGCGAGCCGAACGCACAGCGAAAAGGTTATGTTTCCGGCAGCGGCAATATTTGTCCGGGACGTATAGCCTCATGATCTCTCCCAGCAAGTATGCGCTTTCCGTTTCATTCTTAATTACACTCAAACCAAACCTGACTACCGAAAAATCCCTACGAAGCTCTAATGAATTATACCCTAACACCCCCATCAAGAACTTAGTAGGGTAGAGGTAAGGAAAGAAATTGTATCTTCTTTTATACAGATTTCTCAGGAACTTCTTTTGAACTCGTTCAATCATATCCCCATAATACCTTTCATAAGGGGGCCATATGACGCAGCTGGTTTCGAGAATTGGCCTTAGGGTGCTTACATAAAGAAACAGGTTTCCGGTACAGACAAATCTGTACGGGTCGGTACCGATCGGTACAGTGTTGACTCGCATAAAGAAACAGGTGAATCTGTCCTTAGTGACAATCATGGCCTCCAGTTCGTCGGACGAAGATTTTTTACTTTTAGAAAGTACTTACGTCAAATATAGAAAGAGAAGAACAGTTAGTGTATCTGATATTAACAGAAAAAGAACTAAATATGGAACATATTATCATTTATTCTTAAAAGATATAAAGGACGATGAAA